TGGATGAAGGAGCTGAGGCTGAGAGGGTAAATGTATTGCCCAGCATCACGCAGTTAGTAGCTGAGGCCGAATTTGAACGCGGGTTTCCCTGACTCTAAGTCAGGCATTCTATCCCTTTGTACCACCTTACTGTCTAAAACAGCTAACATTCATTTAGCTCTTTATGGTTTGCAAAGAGCTTTACATACATTATCACACTTGATCTTCACAACAATCCTATGAGGTAGGTGTTATTATTATCCCCCTTTTACAGATGAGAAAACTGAGGCTGGGAGACAGTAAGCAACTTGCCCAGGGTCATGTAGCTAATACGTAGCTGAGGCAGCATTTGAAATTAGGTGTTCCTGATTCCAGAAAGCATGGCACTCTATCCATTGTACCCCCGAAGAGCCAGGTGTTTTAGACATGGACTTGCACTATGGAGAGAGGAGGTCATTCCTAGATGCCTGCGGAATAAATGGAACAAGGACTCTTTTCTGACTCCCCTCAGTTCTAGTGCCTTCCCTCTGCTGATCATTTTAAATTTATTTAGGAAGATCTGAGGGGCAGCTAGGTGGTGCAGCGCAGAGAACACTGGGCTTGGAATCAGGAAGACACTCATCTTCCGGAGTTCAAATCCGACCTCAGACACTTACTAGCTGGATAACTCTGGGCAAGTCACTTAACCCTATTTGCCTCAGTTTCCTCCTCTGTAAAATGAGCTGGAGAAGGAAATGACAAACCACTCTAGGATCTCTGCCAAGAAAACCCTAAATGGGGTCACAAAGAGTAGGAAATGATGTAAAAACAACAGCAGCTGGAAGACCTGGATTCAAATTCTGCCTCTGATCCTTATTAGCTTTGTGGCCATGCACAAGTCACTTAATATTTCTCTGCCTAAGGTCTTCCTCCATAAAATGGGGATGTTAACACCCAGTGTAACTACCTCACAGGGTTATTATGAGTCCCAAATGAAATGAGGTCCATAAAGTACTTGGCAAAACCCTGAAGCCCTATGTAAATGTTAGCTGTTATAACTACCTAGGTGAACAAGGTGCTACTTGGAGATTAAAACATAAATTGAACATATGACCCCAACCCTTGAGGAATATATGTGACCAACTTGGAAGTAAGGGTGAACATACACCCAAGGTAATTTATCAATACTCCAATGAATTTGTCATCTCATTTTTGTAGATACTCCCTCTATTGGTATCCCATACGCCACATCCTTTGCAACTTTTGTCCGTATTTCCATAAGTCCTCTGTAAAGGATTCACTTGAGGTTTTGGAAGCTTACAATTTTTTTTTTACAATTAGCACCTGGGGGAAGGAAAGGAAGGGAAAGGGAGGGAAGGGAATAAGCATTTATACAGAGCTTATTACGTGCCAGCCACTGTGCTAAGTGCTTCAAAAATATTTCATTTGATCCTCACAACAAGCCTGAGAGGGAGAGTGTGCTATTATTATCATTCCTATTTTACAGATGAGGAAACTGAGGCACATGGCGATTAAGTGACTTGCCCAGGGTGTCACCTTGCTATTAAGTGACTGAGGCCATATTTGAACTCAGATTTTCTTGAAGGAAATGGCAAACTATTCTAGTATCTTTGCCAACAGAACCCCAAATGGGGTCAAAAAGTGTCAGATTCGATTGAAAATGACTGGAAAACAACAACTTCCTGACCCTAGGCCTAATGCTTTCTCCACTGTGCCATTTACTACTCCTCACGCATGCTGCATGATTAGCTCACCTCTGTGGAATTATAAAACCTCAGAAATGGAAAGGACTCCAGATGTTTAATCTGATCCCCTACTCTACTAGCATTTCCAAGTGGTCATCAGGCCTTTGCTCAAACAACTCCAGTTATAGGGACCTCTTTAAGCAGCCAATTTCATATACTGACAAATATGATAATACAGCATGAACCAAACATAAAAGTTCTTAGGTGACATAAAAAAAGGAATGCTCAGAACGGTTTCCAGAAAAGGGAAACACAAAGTCAGTTTTATGAGACCGTGGTGGCAACTGATGGAAGGCTTTGAACGCTAGGTTAAGATTGGACTTGAAAATGCAGACAACCTAAAACTAGTATAAATAGCTAAATGAATGTGAACTGCATTTATAATACAGTCCCAGAAGGATTTCCTCCAATGCAGTGATTGGTATTCTGTCAACTGCTCAGTTGTGTAACTGCTATTTCAGAACTTTCTTCTCAAAGTGCTTATCAAAGATTGTAGAGACAACTTCAAATAGATCCAGCTCCAGTTCATTCAGCTAGATTCTGACAGTTATGAAATCTATTAAAATACTAACATTTTCTAATTTATTGTATTAAAACCTACTTATAAAAAGCCTTCAGCACCAACATAAACCTAGAGATGTGTTCCCCTTCTAGCCTGATTTCACTAAGAAGGAATATGCCCTTTTGTTTTCTAATTAAGTATTAACTTAAAAAGTTGAGGTTAAATGTGAATTGTAGAGACAGTTCTATAAGCCAGTGTTGTACTGTGTGAATCTTTTATTAAGCCAGGTCACGTTGCTTCTCTAACACAGTCTGAAGGAAAACACTAATTGATAAAGAAATCACAATAGGTTCATTTTATCGTATAAGTAACAAATATTTCCTGCATGGAAAATTTCCATCCAAAAACAGAAAGGAAAGATGCTAACAAATTGTCCTGACCATTGTTATTTCTTGGAAATTATACTCCCTGGTAAAATGATTATTTTGAAAGTATGTGGTAATAGTTTCACAACACCCACACTGTTTAGATAATTCAAGGCCAAACCCTGGATTTTTCTTACATCATGGAAAATTGGGAAGAGGGACTATTTTTCCTTTTTGGAAGATTTCAAATATTTGGCCTTATGCTTCAGGTTTCATGCTGTGCCCTATACAACTAAAGTGAAATGGAGGGTTGTGGCAATTTGTTGAATGATTCTGATGAAACTTACATTTTACTAAAATAATTCAGGTAAGGGCAGTTTGGAAAAACAAAACAAACTTTGAATTATTTTGAAGTAGCCCAGTCAATATATATTCTTTGGCTGAATTACATGGGTAATTCCTCAATACTCTACTGGTGACTTTTTTCAATTTATATTACATTTTTTTCTCCATTATATGTAAACAAAATTTTTAAACATTTTTTAAAAATTCTGAGTCCCAAATTCTCTCCTCCCTTCCCTTCCCCCCTCCTCCTTGAGAAGGCAAGCAATTTGATAAAGATTATACATGTACTCTCATGTAAAGCATTTCCATATTAGCCATGTTGCAAAAGAAAATGCAGGCCAAAAAACTCAAAAATAAAGTAAAAAAGTGTGCTCAGATCTGCATTCAGATTCCATCAGTTCTTTCTCTGGTGGTGGATAGTGTTTTTCATCATAAGTGCTTTGGAACTGTCTTAGATCACTCTATTGCTGAGAATAGCTAAGTCATTCACAGCTGATCACTGTACAATATTGCTTTTACTGTGTATGTTGTTCTCCTGGTTCTGCTCTTTTCACTTTGCATCAGTTCATGTAAGTCATCTCACATTCTTCTGAAAGCATCCTGTTCATCATTTCTTATAGCACAATTGTATTCCATTACAATCATATACCACAACTTGTTCAGCCACTTCCAGTTGATAGGCATTCCCTCAATTTCTAATTCTTTGCCACCACAAAAGGGGCTGCTACAAACATTTTTGTACCAATAGGTGCTTTTTCCTTTGATCTCTTTGGGATATAGACCTAGTAGTGGTATTGCTGGGTCAAATGGTACATACAGTTTGATAGCTCTTTGGGCATAGTTCCAAATTGTTCTTTAGAACAGTTAAATCATTTCACAACTTCAACAACCGTGCATTTAGTGTCCCTATTTTTTCACATGCCCTCCAACAGTTGTCATTTTCTTTTTCTGTCATGTTAGCCAATTAGAGATGGAACCTCAGAGTTATTTTAATTTGCATTTCTCTAATAGTGATGTAGAGCACATTTTCATATGACTCTAGTTAGCTTTGATTTCTCCTTCTGAAAACTGCCTGTTCACATCTTTTGATCATTTTCCAACTGGAGAATGATAACATATTCTTATAAATTTAACTCAATCCTTTGTATATTTGAGAAATGAGGCTTTTATCAGAGAAACTTGCTGTAAATTTTACCCCCAGTTTCCTGCTTTGCTTCGAATTTTGCTATATTAGTTTCATTTGTGCGACCCTTTTAAAATTTATTGTCATTAAAATGATCCATTTTACATCCTGTAATGCTCTCTATTTTTTGTTTGGTCATAAATGCTTCCCTTATCCATAAATCTGACAGGTAAAATATTCCATGCTCCCCTAATTTGCTTATGACACCACCCTTCACGTCTAAATAATGTACTCATTTTTAGCCTTATCTTGGTATATGGTATGAGATGTTGGTTTATACCCAGTTTCTGCCACACTACTTTCTAGTGGTCTCAGTAATTTTTGTCAGATAGTGACTTGGTGGCCCCAAATCTTAGGTCTTGGGCTTGGTCAAACACTACGTCACTATGGCCCTTTACTACTATGTATTGTGGGCCTGATCTATTCCACTGATCCACCACTCTATCTCTTAGCCAGTGCCAGACTGTTCTGATGATCACTACCTTGTAGTACAGTTTGAAATCTGATACTGCTGAACTACTTCCCTTCACATTTTATCATTGATTTGCTTGATATTCTGGACCTTTTGTTCTTCCAGATGAATTTTTTTTATTTTTTCTAGCTCTATAAAACAATTTTTGGTAATTTGGTTGGTATGGCACTGAGTATGTAAATTAATTTAGGTAGAATTGTCATATTGACTCGGCATACCCACGAGCAATTCATATTTCTCCCATTGTTTAGATCTGACTTTATTTGTGGGAAAAGTGGTTTATAATTTTGTTCATATAGTTCCTGGGTTTGTCTTGGCAGGTAGACTGCCAAATATTTTAAATTGTCTGCAGTTGTTTTAAATGGAATCTCTCTTTCTTTTTCCTCCTGCCGGACTTTGTTGGTAATAGAAAGAAATGCTGATGATTTATCTGGGTTTATTTTATATCCTGCAACTGAAGTGACATCCACATCCTGGCTGCAGAGGAGCCAACAGCAGAGATTTTCAGATGGTATGTATGGCTCGTGGTATGTGCTGATGGATGTATCTAGGTACCTTGCTGACTGTTTGGGGTTATTTCCAAACAATAAACTTATCGACATTTTTTATTCTGAGACACCATGACAACCACACAGAGTTCTGAAAGCTGACACCGTATACGATAGCTTTACCCAGAACAGGAAGAACTGAAATACAACAGTGGGGCAGAGGCCTAAATTAGGAAAATTTTCATGACCTGCAGGTGGTGAAGGAGGGAAAAAGGGGAAGGGGACTCTCTCTTTCCCCAATTTTACCTCTCCCATCATTTTTTGACTGTCAGGGGAAATATTTAAACTTAAGTCAACACTGTCATTGCATTACAACCAAAGCTGTCGTACTGACTGCACAATGAGAGAAAAAAATTACACTTCATGGAAGGAGCCCCTGCTGGGGATGAAATGACCCACCAATTGAAGATGTGAGGATGACAGTTTCTCCAACAAGCTGCCTTCTCTCTGATTAACCAGCTTGAGATCTAGCCCTTTCTTCTCGTATCGCTTCCTTCTTTGTTGATGAGAAACCCCTGCAGGGTTCCACAGTAATCTAGTTGGTAATGCGTATATTAATTTCACTCCAGTGTTAAGAAAAGCTACTCACATACTCAAGTAAACACAGGAAAAATCTGCAGACAATTTCTGCTCCTTTTTAGACGACTATATGACTTACGCTGATGCATGACTTGTAGTGGAAAGTTTATTTTGAGAGATGAAGCCCTCAAGGAGGCATTTAAATTGTCATCAGCATAGCATGTCACATCATACTATCATTCAGGTATAAAGGATCTTACCACTTGGAAGAGGCTGGAGTGTTCTATTCGGAAAATTACTTTTAGAGCAGGTTTCAAATTAAATATTGCCTTCAAAAGGAATCTTGAAGTGTTAATTTTAAGGAAACAGAAATGTCAGAGTTAACGAGGATAAGAATAGGAACACTCTTCTTTCTTCCTCTCTCTTTTTTAAAGACCCTATCTAATTTAATCTCATTTATTCTGCCAATAGCAAATAGTGTGATTAGATTGAGTTCCTTCGAGGAAGAGAGTATCTACTCCTTAATATAAAAAAGTACAATTTTCGGTTGAAAAGATAAAGCACTTTGATCCAGTGTTACTACAAGATATGCTGAGTCTGTTTTTTAAAATCATGTAAACTCTCTATCTTTTGTCATTTCAGAGTTTAATCTTATTTATTTATTTGTGTGCCTATCTTATGTAGCCAGACTAGATTGTAAACCCCTTGAAGACAGGAACTATGTCTCATTTATTTCTGATGGTGTCTTCTACATTATTAGGTGCGTAACAAGGATATATCCAGCTCTCTATTTACTGTTCTGATCACTAGTGAAATAGAAATACCCCTGACAAAAGGGATTCACATTAAAAATTATTCAATAATTTAATCTAACAGTGAAAACAGAAAAGTGAAAGATGTTTTACTTAACAAAAACGTGGAACTTAAGAAAAAGAGCACCAAGAAGGAATTATGGCATGGTCAATAAGCATTTTGTTATGCAGAAACAACTTATTAAATGTTTTCTACGTGCTGTGCCATATTATTTATTCTGTGGCATCAGAAGACAATGAAAATCTGTATAAATAAGGAGATAAATAAATAAGGCGACGCATGAAAAATAGCACTTTTCTGCCTCTGGTTTCAGTTTCCTTCATCATTAAACACTTTACCAGAATCAAATATGGACTAGATGGTTTGTCACATCAAAGTATTTCCTCAGTTGCACTGCTTGCTAGAGGAATTAGTAAGTGGGAAAATAATACAAATTCAGGCAGCCTTAATAAGAAATCAAATGCCATGGTAGTCACTCCCTGAGAAACTGAGAAAAGACTTGCCAGATTTTGAACTCTGTGATCTGCCCTTTGTGTCTGAAAGTAGTTAAAATGCAATTTTGGGTTTTATCCAATAAAATGGTAACATGAACCCTTGTGCCAACCATTCAGGGTCTGGTTTTGGGAACAGCAATCTATATTCATGCTTTGAAAAGGCTTACTGCCATAGATGACGAAGCAATTTAAGCTTTTTATCCTACTAAGTCATATAAGTTTTCTTTCTTGTATATATCTGACAAGTCTGGGGAAATAGTCTTGTTCAGAGTTTGCTACAAGGGGATTGAGATAATCTAATTTTGTATGATGATCTTTGAACCAATCTTGAAATGACCCATATGTTGCATTTCCAGTCTACTCTGTTCTATACTTCTTACTGTACCACCTCTTTCTGCCTTCCCTCAAACTAAACTTGAATAATTATAAAGATATTATTTAAGGAGACAATGTGGCTTAGTGAAAAGAGCCCGACTTGGCAGTTAGTAAAGACCCAAGTACTGGTCCAACTAGTTACTTGACCTTTGGTATTTCACCCTTCCAGGCCTCGCTTTCCTCATCTGTAAAATAAGACAGTTGGACCAGGTAATCTTTTGGGTCCCTTCTAACTTTAACATTCTCAGATTCTAAAGTAGATCTTCATTATCCCCATCATTAACATGAATAAAGAAAGCATTATAAAACACTCCCATTAGCCGAGTTACTCTTTAAAATGTAGTTCAAGTCTTTAACCAAAAGAACAGTTGTAAAGAACTATAAACATATTTAAACATAAATGGAGAGAAACAGTTCTGCCTTCAACACTGTGATCACTAAATGGAGATAAAGCCATTTCTATTTCAAATATATAATCACTTCAACAGAGATATCTAGTATCATCTTGAACTTGATTATGAGATAAAAGAAATGGGACAGAGATGGTAATCATTTAATTCCTTAAGAACTGCTATTCTGAAGAGCTTTTCACTCTATGCTCAATAGATTTCTAGCAGGTTATGATCCAGCTAGAAAGAAAGCATAATGATGAGGAAAATTATGTTTTTCAATAACACAGGCTTTTACAGTACCAAGTACTTCCACAAAGGAGGCAATAAAACGAACTCTGACCACTTTAACAGATGGTATAATGGCTGAGCTCACAGATACAGACTTTTTGAAAGTACCAAGTTCATATCCTTTGACTGAGGGTTCAGGAGCAAGCAGAACTTTCAAGCATAATGTAGCAGGGGATTATGTGTGGCCATACGAGCAAGCTGAGCGTTCTTTGGGTTCACACGCTTGGAAAGATGGGCTGGAGTAATGAGATTTAATGGGTTTCACTTTGCCAATGCAACAAATAGAGGGGGAGTTGAAATGCGAACTACAAGCATCAAACCATTTCCAATACCCTACTCATAAAAAGAGACTAACTACCCTATGTGGTAGGAAAGTAGATAGAAAGGCAGGCTTTCTTCAGTGTCAGAAAACATTCATTGGAGACTGACAGTTGTTTCCCACTGCATGTTCAATGTGGAATATTTCTTTAAGAACACAATAACATTATATAAGAACCTAAAACCTAAAACTACATAAGTCCTAAAAAAATTAGGTTAAAGAAAAGCAAAGAATTAGATTTTTGAAGGATTTTTTTTCTCTATTACCTTCTAGGATGAACATAATGTTTTGATTACTATTAAATACTCAAATGAATATATAGTTTCATGACTCAGGAATTCCCCATGGCAATCCAGATTGCCACCATCCATGCCTGCCCACCCTGTGCTGTTCTCAATTATGTTCTCCCAAGTTTGTTCCTGGAGATCCACCCAACATGATGAAGGAATTTCTAGCCTTTTTTTGATATCATAATGGTATCAGGGGAGTCTCTGGAACTCCCTGTCATCTCTCACTCTTGCCATGTGACCAGACCATCTTCTCTTCCTATGACATCCTGATGACATCCATTACTCCAGTTCTTTTTTGGAGTTTTTCATTGGTTATACTTTTCAGCCTACTTACCTCTACCATACACCTTTCCATTGCCCTCTAGGTGATACTCATTTTTAGTTCTTTAGAGAAAGGGGTGTTCTTTCTTAATAACAGTTGAATCTACTTCCTCCAAACAAAACTTGACTACTATTAAGAAATAAATTTGACTTATGTGTCTGTGTAATCATTTCTTCTGATACATCTATCCATTTATCCAAACATTTACTAAGTACTTTCAATTAGCAAAACTGTGTTGTCTGAAAGTGATTTTTGGAATACCTGGAATTCTTCATAGATTTTCCAGACATTTTAGAAGCTTCTGAGAAGCATGTGATATTATATCCAATAATATTACCTGAAGTTGATCCTTTTAAATGCCATGTTAGTTGACCCTAGAGGTCACAGGGCCATTCTCTCTGGAGTCTATGATGATTGGCTGAAGATATTATTGATAGTTGACATTTAAATAATACTTTAAAGTTTGGTCTTGCTCTAGTGGGAATGAAAGATAACTGATGGACAATCCAAGTGCTCCACTGGCATCCACATAATGTAAAGGCCCATCCCCACATGTTGGGTGGGCCTCCTAGGAAGGCTTTATGGGAGGCCATGGACAAGAGTCCTATAAGATGGGCAGGTATGGATGGGTTGAGAACAGCACTGTTAGAGGTAGTAGCAAAGTTTAAAGTTTTCAGAGTGTTTAACATAGAGTATTGAATGCGAGCCTAACCACAACTTATGAAGTTGGTGCTACAAGTATTTTCCTCATTTTATGGAGGAGGAAACTGAGGCTCAGAGAGGGTAAATGACCCACAGCCAATAAATATCAAAGGCTGGATTTGAACCCAGGTCTGTCTTTCTTTCCTCTTTCTTTCTTTCTTTCTTTCTTTCTTTCTTTCTTTCTTTCTTTCTTTCTTTCTTTCTTTCTTTCTTTCTTTCTTTCTTTCTTTCTTTCTTTCTTTCTTTCTTTCTGTCTGTCTTTCTTTCTTGGCAACTGGGGTTAAGTGACTTGCCCAGGGTCACACTGGCAAGTGTTTGGTCTGAGGCCGGATTTGAATGCAGGTACCCCTGACGTCAGGGCCGGTGCTCTATCCACTGTGCCACCTAGCTGCCCCCCAGGTCTTTCTTAATCCATCATTTTATCCATTACACCACATTTCCTCTGATCA